AATTGATAATGAAAACAATTGTTGATTGCTTCCTTAAAGCTAGAAAAAAAAAAACTAATGTTAATCATTGCCACCCAGATCCTGTGTGAGTGTTTGTGCTCCTGTCCAAACCACACAGCAGTCTGACTGATGCCTATCTGTCAAAGCATGAAAATTAAACATCCTCTTCTGAATGGCTTCCTTCCTCGGGCTCCTCAGGAATGGGACGGTGATCTGCACCCAGTTTACCGTGGGAAACATCATCTGCTCTCTCTGCTCGGGGTCTCTAATGAACTCGTATGAAATGAAAGGTTTCCTTTTTGAAATTCAGCTCTGTTTTGGAGAAGAAAATACACCCTTAAATTTATCAGTCAACACTGCAAAAACACAGCATTTCATCCTCCAAACCACCACGATTTTGTAAACAAAGGTGGCTCAAAAATGACTCATGCCTTTTAATAGTGACCCACAACGCACGCCAGTGTTTCCCTTCAAATGGTGAAACCCTTTTAACCTCATCAAACCTTACATAGAAGCGTAGCTGAACACATCACGCAGATCTGGAGGACATGAAAGAAGAGTTTCAGGAAGTAATAACTACAGGCTAATTGTGTATTTGCACGCAACAGTCGTTTTTTCCTCGCTTGTTCTCAACGGCTTTCTTCCATAAAGCTTCTGCATTTGTCACCTGATCCACTGCAGATATGGTATGGTATATTTAGTTTTCTATTCCTATGGCTAATCTAATCAGTGTGTGTCATGTAAGTTGAATCAAACAGGCATGGGTGTGTGTTCCTACGCATATGTAATGGGAAGACACAGCTGGTTAGAATTAAAGGCCCCACCGACACACATTGAAGAAAAAAAAAAAAGCAAACGGTCCGAAGCGAGATGAAAATACTGCTGTGGAAGGAGAGACTCTAAAAATACCAGGAAGAGCTGCAATTAGTGGTGTGTGTGCTGAGCAGCTGCTGTGGTTCAGGGCACTAAGTGTCTCTAATTACTGCTCTGTGTGTGTGTGTGTGTGTGTGTGTGTGTGTGTGTGTGTGTGTGCGTGCTGATATGAGCACGCCCAACCCATCAGGGGTGTCCTGTCCTTAGTATCTCTATTTACCATTCATTCAGTGTGTGTGTGCCAAACCTCAGTGACCGAGCTGTTTCGTGTCCCTGTGGGGTTCCACAAGGACACACACACACACACACACACACACACACACACACACACACACACACACAGACCTGGTGTTTCGGTTTCATGTAAGGATTTGGTGAAGGACGGTGTGTGTTCGCCTCTCCGTTTACTTTTGTTCTTAAACAGGATGTCCACATGGGGACATGTTTTTCCACTCATTGCTTCTGTTGGGTATGATCAAAAGTTTGGCAGGGTCAAGCGGAGCATCACACGTTCTCCACTAGGTGCCCTTAAGCAAGGCACTTTCACCTTCATTCTGTTCAGTGGAGTGTGAGTCTGATGCTGGGTTTTGGCAAAAATGTGCGTACACGCCTCATAAATCTTCTCTGGGTAAATAAACTGCCGCACAGTACTGGTACTTGGTAGGAAAATTGTGTTTATTTATTTTCCACTGTGCAGGTTTCAGGACATAAAGTCATGTTTCATCTTCTATGAGAAAGTACAAACATTCCCAGTTTGTATCTAAAACTGTGCTGAGAGGTTGAAACATACTTCTTCTAAAATATGATGTATTGTTTTAGATTAAAACAGTGATTCCCAACCTTTTTGCTGAAGGGAGCACACATTATGTCATATTATACTCCATTAATAATAACGGTACAGAACAACTGATAAACTGTACAATGAACCCACAGTGAACACAATAACTGCAGGAAGTTTGTGTAAAACAAGTGATTTGGATGAATTTTGAGCAGATTATTTCCTGTGAATATTGATCAGACATGTTTCCCTTAAATTTTACACCAACTTTATACAATTATCTGTCTGTATAATGTATTTTTTTCACTTAATAGACTTTCGCAATCGCAAATTTAGTGTTTTCTTCTCACTGAGACTTGGCCAATATTCTATTAGCTCTTTGGTGTAATGTAGAATAAAAGTGTTTAGCAGAGAGTGAAGACTGTGAATGCATTTTGTGTTCAGGTGTGAGATCTTAAATAATAAATTAAAAATGAAATTTTAATTTAGTTTTCTTCACAGAAAATAGAAATGTGGAGATATAGACCTACTGTATATTTTACACCCCTAAATCAAGAAGGCCTTGCGTACCCACGTGAAGCTCTGGCGACCCCTAGAGGGGACCAGAACCCCCAGGTTGGGAACAAGTAGATTAAACTACACAACAGTATGTGACATTAAAATTAGCTTTGCTGTGAACAGCTACAATAAATAAATAAATAATCAATTTACTTTAGTGATTCTTACTTTTACTTCAGTAAATGTTTAATGCAGGACTTTTTTTTACTTTTTACTAGTTTTACTTTGGTAGTGAATATTTCTTCCACTCTCCCTTTGTGTCTCTTTCACTGACTCATCTCCAGTGATCTCAACTCCTCCACACCTTCACACTGCTGCTCCTCGTCACTTTGCTCCATTTTCACAGTTGCATCAACACATTTTCTCCTCTTACATCTGCTTTAAACTAACACTTTTCCCTCCTGATTCCTCTCACGCCTCTCTGACACATCAGACTCTCCAACGGAACTGCACAGCTAACCTTTTTAACTTGTATTTACTTGTTTTGAATTTATCCTGCTTTTTATGTTTTATTCGTAGGGGTCGATTTAACAGACAATCAACTTTTTATTCTAATACTGAAAACTTTTTGGCTGTCATTCCTGTACTTATTTCAAAGTAGGGATCAACTAACAATTGTTTTCATTATCAACTCATCTAATTATTTTCTCAATTGATTGTCTATAAAATGTCAGAGAAATGTCTTTGTCCAAATCCCAAAGATTCAATATCATATAAGACACAGAAAAACAACAAATCAACAAAATTTGAATAATTACCTAATCATTAAAGCTTATGTTTTATGTAAAATCTTAATCTGAAAGGTACAGCTGTTAGATAAATGTAGTCGAATAGAAGTACAAAGTAGCATGAAATGGAAATACTCAAGTAAAGTAAGTGGATCACATTTGTACTTAAGTAAATCCACCTTCCACCACTTACTGGCACAGATTTTTACAATTTAAATCCCTTTAAATTGAAAGGATTAAGAGTTATAGACAGTCACCATATTTGCTCTCTGTCAGTTCTGAACACCTGAAGCACTGCATGTCTTTCTTTCCCGTCTGTGCAGTGGAGCAGGAGCGTGACCTCCTGCAGCCTCGTCCCTACTGGAAGGAGTTTCGCTTCGATCTGACGCCCCTCCCTCAGGGTGAGACGGTGACGGCAGCAGAGTTTCGTATCTATAAGACCCTGACGATGGGCCAGAGGGCCAACCGAACCCTGCACATTTCCGTCTACGAGATCCAGCGAGAGAACAGACACAGGTTCACTCAGATTTACTTCTTATTTTATTTCCTTTCTTTGTTTTTAATTGCTTTATCTGTTAAATGCTATATTAATAGCCTGTTATTATTATTTAGTTTTGCTTAATATAAGCCATTAGATGTTTTATCTGATCCTTTTTATGTTATTCCTGTCACATTTTTAATAATTAGGTGCTAAATAATTTGAGTTGAGGCTTTTGACAACGGCACCAAGATAACATTTTCCATTTTCATCACTCACACTTGTGCAATGCTGTTAAACTTTATTCTAATCTCTTTCTGATGACAGCTGGCTGACTTGCAAACAAATCTTAGTACCGTTGATCTGACAGGAACTATGATTGTCTGATTCACAAAAAATGTAAGAGAAAGAAAGAAAAGACCAAGTGGAAGATTGAACCTTTCCTAGTGTTGTAGGTTGCAACATTGGGGAGATCCAGTTTAAAGCTTCTTCAGTATTTTTATGTTTTTAAGAAGTACTCCAATTATTTATTGCACTTCCATAACTTTGGGGAACAGTATTCAGGTATTTTTACAGGCTGAGTAGCACACCCCATGAAGAGTAAACTGACCTGTATGTGTAAAAATTAAAAAATAAAAGCACAAAATGTGTAAAGTACAACAGCTACACTGATACACAGATAGTGTTGCCTCGTAATGAAGAACACCATCCTTTAAACAGGCTAACAGGGTTGAAGCAATGTTTGTGAATATTTATCCTAATAAAATATGATCAAGCAAAACAATGAATCCCCAACGACATCGTTGTAAATAAAACCAGCTTTAATTTTGAAGGGGTGTAATATCCAATCAAATGTCAAATCAATCACTTAAAAACATCTCACGTGTGTACCTTTGTTTCTGGGGCCAGCTAGAATCTACTTGTAAATTCAAGTATTTTGTAATAAACGTTTAATTTTGAAGGGGTGTAATTCCAATCATGTAAATCATCACTTAAAAACATCTCCTTTGTTTCTGGGCTAGATCACTTGTAAATTCAAGTATTATGTATTTTATTGAGTGTGTTTTTGTATTTAAAAAAATGTAATAAACTGCTTTTATTCAAAAGTTTCTGAGTAGGAGTAAAAGTGAAACATTTTTACGTTTATTTCTCTTAAGTTGGACTTTTAGCTGTTTGATTAATTTCCTTTATTTGCTGTGTTTTCCCTCAGAGAGCCAGAGCTGGTGCTGCTGGACATGCAGTCAGTGCCTGCAGGACAAGAGGGGTGGTTGGCCTTCGACGTCACCACGGCCTCCAATCACTGGCTCCTCCACCCCCGCAGCAACCTGGGCATACGTCTCTACGTGGAGACAGAAGAGGGTGGGTGCACCACAGGACCATCATATTCTTCTATACTTAACGTGATTTGCTGGGTAATTTCACTTGGCTTATAAGTAGAAAAACAGTTGCCGGTACTGTAACTACTCAAATGTCTGTATCCTCCCGCAGATCGCTCCCTGTCTGCAGGCTGGATCGGGTTGGTGGGACGCAGGGGTCCTCGCTCCAAACAGCCCTTCATGGTGACGTTCTTTAGGGAGAGTCAGGTCCCGTGTCGGCCACCACGAGCCGTCAAGTCGCATCCCCGCAAGAAGAAACCCAAATACGACCTCCCAGTCCCCAGCATCCATAGTTAGGTTCCAGCCGCTCACACTTTGTGGGGTTTCAGCTCTGAATATGATGCTACAGTGTTTCTCACCAATTGCTGTGTCTTTTGGGGATTTATTTTCTCTGGTACAATTGGGACACTTTCAAAATTCAGAAGCCAAATTCCTTCTGATAAAATCTATAAAAAAATAACACAGATTAGTATGTGGATATTAATAATTAATTGTTAAATAAAAGTTAAATAAAATTCTGGTTTGTAAATATAAAACCTTAAAGTATAGGAATTCTAGTCTGAAAGTTAAAGGATTTATTAATTCCACTTTGATCCCTTTGTTTCAAATTGCTTATGTTCCATCTGGAAACCTTTCACTCTATCAAAGTAAATTATTATTATATAAATTATTCACTGACTTTGATCGCTCTAAATGTTCTTTTCTTGTTCAGATCGGAGTCCTGCCAACAATGGAGGTGCTCCCTGTAAAAAACATGAACTCTACGTCAGCTTCAGTGACCTGGGATGGAAGGTCAGCTCACAATTTAACTTCTTGGATTCTTGATTTATTTTACAGTCCACTTGTCATTACTGAGGCTTCAGATCAATTTAGTTATTTTTGTTATTCTACTTGACTATTGACTTCTTTTTTAGAGAAGAAAAACATGGCCTGTTTTTTTCTACATGTATATTTAGTGGATTTATTCACTGGGGCTAAAATTGTTCTTTCATGTGATGGATACACATGGGTTAAACACTTACCTTAGATGCTTTTGGGAAATCTGGGCTCTGATTGATAAGTTGTTCTTAAAGGTGGGACCAAAACAATGATAGAATTCAATCCAAAGCTCGTCACAATGAGTCTCACAATGAGTATTAAAACTGTCCTGTAGATCTGTTTTTAAAAAGGTATATGTGTATGTTGTGCTATCAATTTAAAACCTCTATGTTTAACCAACTCTTATTTTAGAAAGTATTTTAAGTAAAAGTGAAGGATGTTACTGTTCACACTTTTCTAAATACAGGCACGTCCTATTGGTAGTAACAATATTGTTCCATCCTTATTTTATGTCATAGTACATGGTAGTGATTATATAAGAATGGCTGTTGCTGATCAACTGTGTTCCTGTGGTTCTGCTCAGGACTGGGTTTTGGCCCCCACTGGATATTCAGCTTACTACTGTGATGGAGAGTGTTTTTATCCTCTGGGCTCCTGCATGAACGCCACCAACCACGCCCTCATCCAGCAAGTGGTCAGTACAGCGATCTCTCTCGCTCTTTCTCTCTCACAGCATCCTCTTCAGATCTGAAGCTGAACAACTGTTGAACAACTTGAAATGTGCAAGTTTATATAATAAGTATCAGTGTTTTCATTTCATGCTACATCTCCACCACATTTTAGAGGGAAATATTGTACTTTTTAATTTATCTAGCAGCAGTAGTTACTTATCAGATTAAGATTTTACATACAACATATAAGATTTTTAAATATATAAAAAAATATATAATTTTTATTTAAATTACTGTTTAAATTTAGTAAAAAGCCTTTAGAGGGGCCAGACACCTAGATTGGAAACAACTGTAGCTAACTGTATACAGTAGTAAAAACTAATGCCACCTCAATCGGCTGCAACTATAAAATCCTACATCAGTTTGTTATAAATATTTGCCACAGGGTGCAGTTTTCTTCAGAATGACTACTTCTTCTACCACTGCTTGGTGTAGGACAAGGGCTTTATCTAAATACTGTATTGTATAGTGTATACAATATTGTATTGTATATCTGAACTGTATTTCACTCTGCCGTGGCAGGTTCACCTCCTCAAGCCTGACGAGGTTCCTAAGGCGTGTTGTGCCCCCACCAAGCTCAGCCCCATCTCCGTCCTCTTCTATGACGACAACAACAACGTCATCCTCAAGAAACACCGTAACATGGTGGTTAAGACCTGTGGGTGTCTATGAGAGTCAAAAAGGTTTTATTAGCCCGGACCAGTCCAAGACAATGTACACAGATTTTTTTTTTCCCGCCCCAGACATGAACTCTGCAGAAACCTTTAATGTTGGCAAACAGGCAGGATGACAAAGGAGCTATTTAACAGGTCTGTGCTTCTGTATCTGAGTGCTGATTTAGAATCCGTGACTTAATTGTCTTCATCAATATTACAGGTGAAAATGTACTGATTCCAAATCAGCTCTCTTTAGGCATTTTTTTGTGTCCAAACTGTCAGCTGGTCCTCAGTAGCTTAAGGTTATTCTGCAAATGTGAGAAATACTGGCTCGTATACATGAGTATACCTTCAGCCTGAAATGTACCTTCATAAAACATCCAGCAGCATCATAGAGGTGAAATTTTTTTTTTCCTTTGCTTTTCCAGAAGTACAGTACTTATTTGCCAACTTTTCAGGAGTACAAATGTTATTTCAATACTTCAACTTCTACCCAAACTGGGGAAGCTGGTATCTTTTTATGCCTTTCTTAACAAAACAGATAATTCTGATTTAGTCTTCACTGTCAGGTTTAAATGGCAAATGATATTGGATGGCAGAAAATGCCATTAGTGATGCCTGTTTTGTATTTTCACGAGAAAGAAATTAAATGACAGCATTTCTATTGTTGAACACAAAGTCTATATGAAGAGAAAATGTCCAAATGTATTGAATTAATAAAAAAATATTCACATTCTCTCTCTCTCTCTCTTATGGTCATAATATACACAGGACTGAAAAGAATAGTAACAGTAAAAACAAAAAGTGGCATTGCGATTACTCTTCAACTTAATTCTGGTCTCTGCAAATAAGAGCGCCGGTGTGGAAAAGCTCCTGAGCGCAGTTTGAATTTACTGCTTCAAGCTTTGAAAACATGTTGATTAAAATGGCAATTATTTGATTTATTGACTGACAATTTTGATAAGTGATTAATCACACGTGCAGGGTGGTCCATACAGATCAACTATAATCTGCTGCACCACTAGGATTCGCACACATACTACAACCCAACACCACAGCCGCCTCGTACACTGTTATGTAATTAAACTGCAGTCACATCTTTCATCTTGTCACAGAATCAGCTGCACAGACGGGTCACATTAAATACATTGTTCAATTTATTGAAAAGGGTAAAAAAAAAAAGAAAGAAAAGAAATTACAGTGAAAGCAAATTTGTGAAGTTTTTACCTGCTAGTGAAAATATGAACCAAAACACAGGGATTAAATCATTTTGGCAGTTACTGAACCATTTTCTTTAACTCTCAGTCCGTGGGGCTACTTACAATTTCTTTCAATCAATTAACAACCAAAGTGACAACAACTGAAAGCATAAATGAGGTTGTTATGTTAGAGGGGGGTTTAGCAAAAAAAAAAAAACATTTGCTTCTGATTTTCAAAACAAAATCTGGTTTAACTGAAGTGGAACAAAGATGATTTTATTGCCAAGATTATGTTGGAAAACGTGCCCGAAGAGGACAACATTAACATGAGCAGAAGCAGAAGGATTTGGGGGGGGAGAAAACAGAAGAACATACATGAACATGAGAATTGCTGTGTGGCGTAACGTGAGGTACTGTTGTGAGGTGTTACTGAGGTTGGACACCTGTGGAGCAGCAGCACAGAGGACGCATAGCAGGAGAGTCTGTCCCTCTCGTTGGACATAAACCATGAATCTCCAAAACAATATAGTTGAAGACTAATATCCTGCATTTTACCATCAACAACCATAAATTCTGAAATGACACAATGGGGTTTTTAGTCATTTTAAGAAGCCAATGGTCATGAAAACTCATTTTTATATATTCTATGCACTGTTAACCGTGGTGACATTATGTGAATACCTTTGCTCAAGTGAATATAAAATAACTGGAGTTACAAAGTTTTAACCCAAAAGTGCCGTATCCATTGTGGATGAGTGATGCAATCTATAGCAGGGGCCTTAAATGTGCCATCTATTGCTCTGGACGACAGTGTTTAACAGTACAACCAGCTGATAGCTAGCCATACATTCTCAAATATTTGTTTTGTTTTTGTTTTTTTTTTTTTTTTTTTACTTCCCAGACATCATCACATCTCCCAGTTATTAGTCACAAGATCATTTTATTCAGTGTTAGCAGGCAATCTTGCTGGTCCCCTCCCCCATCTGGAATAGCAAGGTAGTTTTACATAATAAATATAAAAATGGGGTGCTGGTGTACTACTGCCCCGTCGTTATTGTTTTCACTTACATACACACATCCAACCCCCTCCCTCCTTCCATCCATCCATCCATCCATCCATCCATCCATCCATCCATCCATCCCAACCCGTTGTCCGTGAATACTGACGGGTCCCAGTGTTCGTCATCAACATCCTTCAGGCGCCGTGATTCAATGTTAAGTCCGTGGTCATTGTGCATCTGTAAGCGACAGTTTTTATTGTTTGTTTTAGTATTGTGGTTAAAGTTGTGAACAGTGACCAACTGAGTTATCAAAACCCATTTTCTTTTTAAAAACGTTTAAGTTTGTTCATTGTACAATGAGTAGAAGGTTTTGGTGAAATTTAAAAGCTGTTTTTGATATTATTTTTTTGGTTGCACCTCGCCAAATCTACAAGGACGCAGAATTTACAAACTATGGGAGGTTTCATAAAAACTGTCAACAGCTGTCAAAGAGAAAAACGTAACTACAGGGAGCACTACAGTTGGTCTTACCCAGGTTCAGGTCCAGTTCAGTCAGCAGTTCTTCATGCTTGAACGTCCGCCAGCTCAGGAGGCATGGGAGACTTGGGGTGTTTGCTCTCAAAATGCTGCTTGAAGGTCTTGGGGTCAGGCATCTGCGTCTGGAAGAAGAGAGAGAATGATGGTTTCAAATTATTTTATCTTTTTGGTAACCAATTAGACCTGAAATGGTGAGTCTATTTATTGATTGACAGAAAATTAATCGCAACTATTTTGATTTAACACACGCAAATGTGAGGATTTGCGAGGCGGGGCAAGCCGGTGTGTGTGTGTGTGTGTGTGTGTGTGTGTATGGTGGAGAGAGAAAGCAAGGTGCGCAAAGTAGTAAATACTTGTTTTGCATCGGATCCCTGCCTTATCAACCACATTAGAGTGAATATCTTTCTCATGATTTGTGTGACACAACCAAATAAACCATAGAGAAAAATATGCATATATATTTAATATATATTTCTCACACAGAATATATCGACATATCACACAGCCCTAGTAGATCTGAAACTGCTTAACAAAATGTCTTTCATGTCTCAACATACATACATGACATGAATTGGATTGTTTTGCATTGCATCACACGCACTAAAAAAAATAGCTGTCACTCGGAGAATGCAGCACGTCTTCTAGAGAGAAGTAAACTTGATCTCAAACAGATTCGACTGTGAAAAAAAAAACCCAATCTACAACTAAATCTGCTCAGTATTCAGCTGTAGGGAACATCTAGCAGCAAAGTGCTGTACTTACCCGGCAGACAGGGCAGGTGTGGACCAGTGCGGCCTTTGCTGCGGTCTTCTGGTCAGCGGCTTGACCTTTCTTCTTCTCTGCTGCCTTCTTGGCGTTCTTTTGCTGGGACTGAATCTTCTGCTGCCCACGAGCCATGGCCCTCAACTTTGAACTGCAGGAATAAACAAAAAGAGAGACCACAGATTATTCATTATCCACATGTGCAACTTTTATGGCCGCAGCTCACACCGTGATATAGAAAACGTTACGTGTAAATGCAGGGTGAGAAATAAACTGCAGCAGGTACATTTAGGAGGTGATAAGCTGGTTTAACCTGACACATGATGATGACTATTTTAATATAATTATAAGCACTTTGTTAAAGTGATACAACATCCTAAATCTCATTTCTCTCAAATCCTCAACCCTCAATTATACAGACACAGCTACCCACTCTACTTTTGTCCAGAGGGAGACTTTAATGATTAAGAATAGGCTCCTTAGTTCACAATTAAGGAAAATCGTGCAAATTCAGTTCCATAAATAAATGTTTTTCCAAGTTTGGAAGACCATCAACAACTACAGTTTGGTGAAGAACTCTGAACCTCGGCCCCATCCAACACCTTTGACACAAACTGGAACACAGACAGCGAGCCGGGCCTGATCACCAAACACCAGCGTTGACCCTCACTAATGCTCTTGTGGCTGAATGGGAATAAATCCCATCAGCCAGGCTGGTGGGAGTGGAGGCTGTTCTAGCAGCAGATTAGTGCCATTAGCGAATGGTTTTGGGACCATAAGTTCAACAATCACGTAATGTACTATTCAATTGTCCACATACTTCTGGCTCAGTAGTTCAGATTGTTTTGGTTCAACAGACACGCACGGTTCATTAAACAATTAAGAGTTTATAGTTCATCAGATTATACAACGTAACTGCAATATTAATACCACAAATAGAAAACCTAAATTATGTCTAGTCCCATTATTTGATATGTCTAATACAGCATCCCTGCTATATATATCCTATCCTAACCGAGGTTATATGGTGTTGATTCAACTTCACGGTCATTTCGGAGGCTGTACTTTGTGTTGCTGTTTAGTTTTATTATCTGTTAAATGTTTGGTCTATAAAATGTCAGAAAGTAAAAGGAACATTTTGATTCATCATCCGTCAATTCCCTAAAACTTTACATTCAGTCTTTAAATCTCTTCTTTTGTCTGAAAACTACTTATATCTTCTATCACTGTTGAATTGTATTAAACTGATGTAATACTAGAAACACCTCTGAGTACATAATTCAACCTCTGGAAGCACAATAAAGTTTCATTAAAGGCCTTTCAACAACAACTAAACACAACAAACCACAACCAAAAGGAAAGATAAACTGTGGTGCATCTCCAAGCTCAATGAATAACTTATTATTATTATTATTTATCCATTACATACAAGGTTTATTTCACTTAAACTGCGCGTTTAGAGGTGGAGAACAAACTATCGATCCACCTTTGACCTGATGAACCTGCTGTTGTACCTAACGTTACATAAAAGGTGACATTTTAACGACTTCACAGCAACCGAGCAGCGACGTTCACGTACACTTATCAACTTTTAAATCAACAGGTTTTTCATTGTCGGAACCGTCGGAACCGTCCGAACCGTCCGAACCGGGCCTTTCTATCACCCGGCGCCGCCTTGCTAACACTGCTAGCTGAGCTAAGCTAAGATTACATGTGACTCCGAGGTTTTACGCGATAAAACGCTGTCGGAGCGTGAAGAACAAAGCTTGTGATATTAAAATAACATCCTTAGATAACAGCACAACACGCTGCGGCTGTTAAATAGTTGATTTGTTGTTGTTTTTGAGGCGGATTTACCTTCGAGATTTGACTCTCTCTTCGCTCTTTTGTCGGTCTCTTTTTTTTTTGAATGCCAGAGGAAACTTCAGAGGAGGTTTTTTTTAACCGTCGCATCAGGTTAAAACCTGTCGAAGAAACGAGCAGCGCCCCCCCCCGCCCGCCCGCCGGCCTGGAGCAGTACTGCACCTTCAACCGCTGACTAAAAGTAGAAACTGAGCAGTAGAGGGAAGCAGCTATGTACATTTATAGTTGGTAGTTGTTAGCGTGGATAGATCATTGACAGTTTATATATGTGTAAGGGATAGACTTTATAGCCTCCAAAAAAAAACACCAGCTGTATGACTACAGTTGATCTGACTAGACTTGATAAAAAAATGCACCAAACCAGACTCTTGAGACTTAAGAGAAACCACTTTTATTTGCTGAATAATGATTCCAGCATTGTAATATTTTATACTTGGAACTGAAAGGGTATTTATAGTCTGTAAAAGACTGCAAATACTTAAGGTATGGAATAGAGGATGATGTTTTTTGGGTATTCAGCAAAATTCAAGTATTGTGTATTTTAGGGGTTTATAATCTGTTAAATTGTTCTGGACTTTTCTTTGCTATGTGCTAATAACAACTTACAGTAAACAGCCATATATCTAACATATAAGGCGTCCACTGCAATATGACTGGCTTGTTCTGTCATTAAAATATCTAAACTTTGTCAACATCAGGAGTCTGCAATAGTCTAATTCTATTGTATTTTTGTTTTCTTAGTCTTTGCTGTTGTTTGACAGCTTTGATGAATTTGGAAAATGAGAGAAAGAATATGTGCATATTGAGTAGTTAAACCTTTCAGTTGAACCTCCGTCTCACTGGAGCTGATTTATATCTGTTTTAATAGACTAAACCCTGTCAACTTCATTCTGAGCATCAAGCAAGTAGGAAAAGAATATTCCCAATTGGTCAGCCTTTAAACTGAGGAGACGTGACAAAGTCTTTATTTACGACCTCAGAGGTCAAAATTTACAATGATTTATTAAGTCAGATTCTGGGAAAATAAATCAACAGGGGGAACACAGGTTTTGGTCAAATGAACATGTGATTGGATCTGTTCACAGAAATGAGCCAACTCATCCCAGAAAGATAGGTTTGTTGGTTTCTGTACTTTTAACCACAAACCGAGGGCCTGTTTGAAGGATGCCCACTGGAGTTGAGCCTAAAAGGAATAAGTACTACAGTTTCAAAAGAGAAGAACTGCACACAAAGTAAACACAGTTTCATCACTTTATTACAGTAAATGAGTCCATATCATACACACACAGAACAGAGACAAACAGGTTTGTGTTTCTTTCTCTCTCTCTCTCTCTATCTCCGTCACTCCAACAAATCAGTCCACCAGGACAGAATGACACCACACCGAACAGCATTGGAGTACAAAAATTAAATAAAAGTTACATATTAAGAGATGCAGAGACCTCCCTCGGTTAGAATAAGGGAGGGTAATATTAACACACAACTGAGTTTTTTGGAGAATTTAAAAACACAAAGAAAACTACAATTTCTGAGATTCAGTTTGCTTGAAACTGTCGGTCAAGCGGAGCAACATTTCTGCACGTTGCCTGACCACAAACACACACACACACGCACACACACACAGAGCTGATAGATGGCTCTGTCTGCAGTCTCAACACAAATGTCTGTTTCTGCCATATTGTGATCATTAGCAGCAATTCTGAATACCGTCCAGCACATAATACAAAATGCCCGTGTTAAGTACTAGCTGGACACCATAATGGGATTTCTAGTCCAACTATACCCTTTTGAGATCTCTTGAGTCAGACATCACACCGTCTGTGGAAATGCCAGCGTCATTTTTCTCAATACTGCACAGTAATAATATATTGCAATCTATCACGACACACAAACAAAGTTCTGTTCCAAAAACGAGAACAATCAAGTATGTGGAAGAAAAAGAAAGACACAAAAAACCTGAAGTTCCAGTCTCACTGGCGCCAACTACGGGCAAGAAACTGCAACAATTGTACACACGAAAGTCTGTTTAAAGGTTTTGGGGGAGTTCTACTGCGCACGAGGAAAACAAGTTGTATAAACCCTTTATGGCTCCAGAGGGAGCTGCATGAAATATGATAAAATTGCTGCAACATTGGTTTGTAATAGAGAAAGATCAGCTACTGGGGTGGAGATAGAGATAAATGATGCTTCTAGGCCTCTGCAGTCTGATCCAAGTCTCTAATTGGGGCCTTTTGTTTTCTATAGCTGCTGCTTTTGGGGTGTTGAGCTTTAAATTTAACAGTTTAAAGACTTTAGTTTTCAGCATCTTAGTGTGATTGTGTTTCCTGTGATCACTGTAGAATAAAATGGGAGATTATAGGAGGACAAAAGGAAACAGAATGAAGTTGAAAAAGCATCCTGAACATGTTTCACTATGATTGGCACAGGTAAAAATGTATAATGATTGAATAGCTCCCTCTTGTGGAGAATCTGCACCCTCTAAATGTTTGAGTTTGTTACTTCCATTAAGGTGCTTTACTGAAAAACAAAAAACTGCTCTTTTTTAATTTTATCATGGTGAAGAAGCAAAACAAACATCACTGTTTTAAACATTATGCATTTATTATACTGTGTAGATCAACAGTAGACGGGCAGGTTGGAGAGAACACTGTGGGGGCCAGATTCAAGATGCCGCTGCCACGTGGCTCAAACGGGCAAACATGACACGCCTCAGTCAATTCGGTTCTAGAGAGGTTTCACGCATTTTGGAACAGAACCTGTGAAATATTCATTCAGTCCGGTGGTCCCCCACAAGACCGCTGAGTCCTCCCTGTTAGGCTGAGTAACGATATTAACAGCTACTTTACAATTTTCACTTGACTACGAGTCAGAGAAAGAGAGAGAAAGATCATCAACAAACATGAGGAGTAGGCTGATTTTTTTTTTTTTTTCCTTTGCACTATTTACACTTTTGAATTGTGAAAAAAGAAACTTATTTACAAAAAATGCCCAAACTAAGACTGCTTCATCGACAGGATGAGGGAAATAAGATATAAACAACTCTGTAATAAAAAGTAAAAAGAGGAAAATAAAAATCAGTGATATTTACACGTGCAGTAAGGGAAGGAGAGGGGGGGGGCTTCTGAGATTGGGGAAGAGAAAAATCAGCCATGTTTGATTCCTATAGCTGGGTGCAGCTTTTGTTTTTTTTTCTCCACACACCTTTTCATTGCCACAGAAAGTCTGACAGCTCTGAGTGTGAGGCACCCCGCAGAGGTAATCAAACATGCCGGTTGGACTCTTTACAGCAAAGAAAAGCAGAATGTGGCCGGCAGTAACCCACAGGACTGGGAGCTTAGCAGTCTGAAACCCATACAAGCAGCTGGGAGGGAAAACCATGGAGGGACAGAGGTTGAAAAATGCTCTCCACTCTCCTCATATGAAATCAATGTGAATGTGTCCAGTGGTGGAATTCAAAAAGCATCACAGCTCTTCACTTATATTTAAAAAAAAAAAGAAAAAAGAAAAGAAACAGAGATGGCTGCAGGTAAAAACAGCAGGTGGAGGCATGGTACAATAGTATCAAATATACTATACTACAAACTTTCAAGTGGTCTTCACTGCTTACTAAAAATCTGTATTATTGACTGCTCTAATCCCTAAAACACTGGCTGTTCATACTGCAGGTTGGAATATGGTAAGACACACACACACACACATTTGTACTTCTATATGTGAGAGGATGTCGTGAGTGTGATAATACATTCTCTGACCCATGACCATAACCTAATTCTAACTTTGACCAAGCCTCTTTTTTCACTCTTACGGGGTAAAAGTCGAATCGGTCCTCAGAGAGATAGAAGTACAAGAGCACAGAACAGGTACTTGATCAACTACTATTCACATTAAGCCTTTTTCATTAATCTCCCTCATGCTTTGTTTCTGCGTACAGCACTAAAGACCTGAAGCAAATGTCAGAGTTAATTTGTTTCTACGAAGCTTCTTCAGGAGAGAGCGTTTCTTTAATTACCACTGACGCCGAGTACAGTTTGCTAAAGACGCTGTGACACCATTTCAAAGCCCTATTTGGCATCAAACTCTCATCCAAAAACAAATAGATAAATAAATTTACATGAAGATGAAGAACCCTCCCATCAGGTTTAATAAAACATTAAAATCAGAGCCCCAGTATTCTTCAGGTGGACCACCATTCAATCTCAAAAACCCACTTTTCTACATTAACACCAGCACAGCAATGGCCTTTGAACTAAAGGGGAATTCCACCAAAAGGGACTTTTTGATTAGATAGCATCCGTGTTTAATCTGCTAATAATTTCCAAGGGATCATACAGGTTTTAGAGAGACACGTTTATAATATTCTAGACTAAAATAAAATAAAATAATGAATCAGGCTGGCAAAAGCACTCTATTGTATTCTGTATCAATACATGTCAACAGGCCTAACAGGAAGACCACAGGAAGTTGTAAAGAGGAGCCATAAATTACCACATTTACTATGTTTAAATACTTTTTAAAGCTTTAAAATGATTTGTTAAAACAAAGACATCATGCTTACATCCTCTTAAATGGCTCAATTAAAGTTGTTTCCTGTTTTGAAAGCTCAAAATGAAAAACAACACAAAAATGTTTACTTTTTTTTGGTTTAATTAAAATAATGACATTCCAGCCAATTTTAGTGGAACACGCCTTTAAAGACATTTCTGAACTGTTTCCTCCACAGTGAACCGCCACCGCCACCGCCTGGCACAAGTGAAACTAGTGAAGGCTGTCATTTATAGGCGGTTCAAAGGGGGCGTAAATTTGGTTATTTTCACATAAACAAAGTCTGGAAACAATTTCTTTAAGAAGCACTGATGTTGTGATGCAGATTAACGATCAACCTCCAGTTTATTAGACAACCGTCAGTATCCCATGTAAGGGATTACAGGGAGCTACTGCTGTAATGATTTAGGACAGTGGTATCCAGAGCACTGCTGGTTTTCATTTAATCATCAATTGAACAGTTTGCAGGACAGAGAACAAGCAGCACACTGTGCAGCCTCCACACATGTACATTTAGTTGCACTATTATGGTTCTAATTTGTTTACTCACTTCAAAATGCTAATTTTTTTTTTTTCGATGAGTATCTCCTCCGCTTTGGCTGAACACCACATTCACACTTTCTTCACAACTGAAATTTACACACCTAAGTGAAATTTTGAGGTGAACAAGAGCAGGAGTCAAGAAGTATTCTTCTGGATGTTTGACATAATTGTCTTTCCAACAAAATAACACCTCTGCCCTCCTTAGTTGAAAAAAAAAAAAAAAACAATAAAAGCTGAAAATCTGTGATTTATCTTACCCATATTTATATAGAAGTGTGAACAGGTAGGGGAACTGTTTCCTAGAGGAATATTTCACTCTTTTGCCAGACAAAACTCTCTAGAACAGGAAATAAACAGATGGATAGGAGACGCGGTGGATATCTCCAGTCCAGTCTGTATAAATGCAACCACTGAACATGAGTCATGTAAGGGGCAATCCAATACACCTCCGACCCAACACTGATAACTGCTACAGGGTACTGATGAGATTTTCTACTCTACATAAGTAGATAAATAAACAATAATTTAAAAACATCAGGCTGGATTGTTAAAATAATGAGGCTGGAGGAATTGGGAATTTATTAGTCCCTGCATCCGCTCTCCCGTCCTGAGTGGAATAAAATTCCTTTTACCCTGATGACCTATTTAGGGGCCAGTTCTGATCTTGGTCAGGCAGTGTACAGGCCACCCCTTACTAACAGGGATGCAAAAACACTGAATATAAAAAAATATTCTGACTTGAAAAAAGAGATAAAACATTGTGTGATCACATGATGCTTTCAATTAGTCAAATAAATAAACACAAATATAAAGAAGAAAAAAAAAATGTTGATTTAAAAAAAGGTTATATTACAGAGGACCAGCCCCCACTATTGAACCTTCACATACCACCCGAGCAGCAGCGAAACTCTGTGTGTGTAACAATCTCCTGCTGTAGTTTCAACCCTGGCAGCTAAAGAACTAATGTTTGTTTGTTCAATGCATTTACTGTACAAAAACAGATCATCTAAGAGGAGAGCAAGCAGCATGGAGGAAAGCAGTAGAGAGACAGAGAGAGAGAGAGAGAGAGACAGAGAGAGAGTGAGAGAGGTGTGTGTGTGTGTGTGTGTGTGTCTGAGGTAAGGGTGAGGCTGGCAGGCAGGCAGGCAGGTGAGAGGCTGCTTTAGATGCTGTTAAGAGATCCTGGTACTGAACTGTGTTGGGATGAATCTGAACCGGTACCATCTGAAAGACAGAATAGGAAACCAAAGGAACAGTGAGTGTAAATAACAGTCCACTACACAAAAGGACCTGACAGCAAGGTATTATACATGACACAGTATTAGCCTTAAGGTAACGCAAATTACTCTTTAAAAAGGTCCAGTGTGTAACATTTAGGAGGAGTTATTGTTAGAAATGCAATATAATATTCATAGGTATGTTTTCATTAGTGTATAATCACCTCAATATATGAATCACTGCTTAGAATCAGCCTGTGCAATCTACAACTACACCACTAGATGCCACAAAATCCTACACACTGGACCTTTAATAGAAGTATGTCACTTTTATGAAAGAAAAGCCTTCAGATGTGCAGTGTATTCTTAGACTGATGGGCTCTGTTGTACATATTTCCAATCCACAGAACAGGGTTATCACATGGGGAAAAAAGCATTGCAAATGATTGTTCATTATGACTTTCCCAACCCAGAATAATCCTGCAGAACTATCAGAACCAAAACTAAAAATGAGCCATTTAGACACAATGCCTCACCAGTTGAAATAGATAAAATAGACAAACACTTTTGCTGTCAAATTATTTCACTCAGTAGCTAATGTGACTACATAATAACAAAATGTAAAAAAAAAAAAAAAAAAAAGGTGTTAAAATGGTGTTCATACACGGTAAAGCTCTTCTGCCACCACAAAATCATAAAACTGACATTTACAATGGAATCATAAGAAGAGAAACATAAGAGCTTCCCACCGTGGGCGGAAGCAGCTGTATGAGAGCGAGCGTGAGGAGGAATGAGGGTTGAGTTCAGCTGGGGCTGGATTGACAGCTCTGCAGAAAATAAAAGAGGGAGTTTTTATTTAATGATGAGTCATATATCAAAAAGGACAGTCTCACACAACAAAGGGATAGTGTACGCTGCATTGATTGCACCTCCTTTGAGGTCACAGCGTTGGCCCAAACCAAACCAAGGAACACCAACTGATTGTATTTAGCTAAACAGATGGTGATCCATTGAGGATAACTTCAACAAAGGCAAAACAGATGGAAATCTGACTTCTCCTCCCTAAATAATAATAAAAAAAAGTTTCTTGGAAAGATGAAGGTGGCGTTGTAATTAAACTAAAACCCTTAAGCTAAGCGTGGTTGAATCTGCACGTACCTGTGGGGCTGAAGTTGAAGAGCATCGGCAAATCTCGGCCGCTGGGCAGTCGTGTGTTGGGCTGGCGCAGCTCATCGAAAAAGGCATGCGAACAGGCCTCTAGTGGGGAAAGCCGGGAAGCTGGCGTGTACTCCAGCAGCCGGGAGCAGAGAGCAATGGCTTCTGGAGGGGTGCGAGGTTTAAACACCTGAGGAAGAAAGAAAGAAAGAAATTTAAGTACAAATATCCAAAAATCACATCCACTCTAGAAGATTTCTAAATAATCAATAAGGTTTTCCAAGACAAAAGCACTGAGTATCATTGATATGCAGAAAGGCAGATTTTCCTTCAAGCTACAATGTACAACTGTGTGGGTATTCATTATCTACTATGACACTCTAAATGTTAAATGTAGAACCGGCCTATTCAATTGGCGGCTTGCAGGCCACATATGGCCCAGAAGCAATGTCTGAGTGGCCCAGCATACACAAATCTAAAATATAGCAAAATAAGTGAACTAAAAATATAGTGTATGGAAAAAGCTAACGGATGGGAACATCAAACAGGAAGAAAACACAAAGAAAACATGTGTAACTGTCAGTTAAAACCCCTTATAGGAGGTGCTCTCCATCTAAAAAAAGCAGTTTTTGGAGTAGGAAGATATCCGCTTAGTAGTAAACTCTAAAGGGCCACTTCCCTTGGTTTTACGTTGTTTCTGTACTCTTAAGGTGTCAGGGTTAATCGACTTTCAGAAGGAGGACACTAAAGCACTTCAACTCCCAGATTTAAATAGACCGCGTGGGCAGCAACACATCCACAGGTATTCTCTTCTTTTGTTCTGATACACTGCTGCAATGTATGGCACTTTTTGGAACAAATACCTTAATAGATTAATGTTTTGGGTATGTATATAGAAATTTAAAACATTTGCAGAGTTCATCCATATATAAATATACAAGATAAGCCTCATATACCATATGCAGAATGTCATAAAACTTAGTAAGTAAAATAATAGTAATAAACATTGATTTTAGAACAACTTCATACATCATACAAGCAACTCTCAACATTTTTTCCACAGAATTCCTCAATTCCAGGATTTTGACACACAGATTAACTCTGTATTTACTTACCTTGGTCCATGGATGGGCTTTAATCTGAGGGAACTTGAATTCTGTGTAGTTGGGGTTCATCTCTCGGATTTGTTCCCTTGTTGGGGTTCCCAGCACCTGAAAATATATGTAGGAGTATGAGTAGTATTCTGCAGACAAACAGGCCAGGTGTGTGACTGACTGCGATTATTCCAGCAGTCTTTTATGATACATCAATACAACATAAAGAGGGAGCACACCCACAAGCACAACCAAAGTTAATATCTTAAAACACAATCTCCTTATGAAAATCAGGAACAGGAAGTGGCCCTAAAATCAGTTCAGCAATAGACAAGAAACCCAAACATTTCAGCAGCACATAGATACCTGATTAACACACTCACCTTGATAATCTCTACTAGTTGGTCCACCCCACTGTCACCGGGGAATATGGGCTGTCCGAGCAGCAGCTCAGCCAGGACGCAGCCTGCTGACCAGATGTCAATGTTTGCCGTGTAGTCTGTGGCACCAAAAATTAGCTCAGGGGCGCGATAATATCGTGAGCAGATATACGACACGTTGGGTTCACCGCGGACCAGCTGTTTGGCGCTGGGGAAACACAAGAAATCAAATTAAATGATAACAAAGAATGACTGGAGTTCGAGTGTAGGTCAGGGGATGAAAAGTGTGAACTATTGTGGAGCAAATGGTCATTAACAGTTGTGGGGTTTATTGTTATTCCTTTCACAACTGATTACAGACATTTTTTTTAAAAATATATTAAATTTTTTTGGAGGGCTTTTATTGCCTTTAACCGATAGTGACAGCTGAAGAGTGACAGGAAGCCCTAACCCTATCTGGGCGCCCACGACAGGCATTTTTAACCTGACAGTGTGAAAGCATCCACCACACAAAATAAACATTAAGAGGTAGGTAACATGTTATCTGCAGAGTCACACCAGCTGAATATCACGTTGGAGAATAGAAACAGATCAATTCTGTTCTCTGCTTGATTTTGCAGTTGTAAAGATCACCTCCAGACATGTTTTTAAATAGTCTGCTTGGAAGAAAAATATGTGTCTTACATGTTTTTTCTGCCAAAAAAGTAGCAGAATTTCCACAATAAAATTCTTAAAAAGGCATCTACTCCTTTTACTACATTAAAAATACCAGAATCTTTTCAAATTTTGTGAAGTTTTCCTGGATACAAGATGTTTCCTACTTCACTATAAAGTCTGTTCTCAGTATTTGTGCACGGGTGGCTTCAGGTTTCTACATCCCACTTGTAATGTGTATGTAAAAGTTGCAGACTGTACCAGGATTGATTGTTACAAAACATGCATATATGCCCCTCCCCTTAAAATTAGATTTTCAGTGAGCACAGAGAAACTTTCCACTTTCGGCAGTTCATACATGTGAAAACACCCTTCTAGTGTCAAACTCTGCAGAGTGAAGCTCAAACATTCAACTGCAGGAACAAAAAGAAAAACCTATTTTTGACTGGAGGGAGACTTTAAATTCTTGATCTCTGTGTTTGAGAAAACCATCTGTTGATGCAGCTCACCTGCCAAAGTCACACAGCTTGAGGATGGCAGTTTCTGGGTCGACAAGCAGGTTCTGAGGCTTGATGTCTCTGTGACACACACCCTGGGAATGGATGTAAGCCAGACTGCGAAACAACTGGTACATGTACACCTGAGGAGGTCCCAATAAAACAACAACACATAATAAGCTCTCAATGACAATAAAATGGAAAAAAACAAAAAGACAACATGGTTATGAAATAATAATAATACCGTGCTTTGTATTAATGTGTTAGAGTGTCAAATTGATGGACTAAAGATGCTCTCTTGTAACAAGTTGTAGGAAATTAACATTTTAGATTTAGTAATCTAAGTATTTCTTTGGTCAGCATAAAGTAAATGTTGAAAAATGAACAAAACAAACAGTTAAAAGAACACATAAATGTCTTAGTAGGAAAAAGAATCACCTTCACATATATGATAGGAATGATGCTCTTCGCCTTGTTAAAATGCCTGGCAACCCTGTACACCGTCTCAGGGACAAAGTCCAGCACCAGGTTGAGATACACTTCATCTTTCTGTACAGCACAGGACAGAGAGAAAGAGATCAGAGTGTGTTTAAAATATGCATGATCTAATAGAGGTTCTTACAGGAAGCCAGTCATTTGATGAGTGAGTGAGCAGTGTTGATGCACAGAAAAAGCTGCCTGCTATGACTGTTGGTTCACAAGCCGAATCTCTTTTTTTGTTTGTTTGTTTTTTATTAAACACATACACAGAACCTTGTTTCCAGTTACTTACTTCTGCAACATTATACTTAGAAGTGTTTCTAAATCTGTCAGTGCAAGAAATGGGTTGCTTCCCTTTTTTAGGTTCGGGGTATTTCTTTTTACTCTGCATGTGAGTAATCCTATCTCTTATGGGTATACACCATTTCCTCTGTAATCTCGTGAAACTATGCTACTGTGAGATAAGGGTGTGTGAATACAGTGACTTAGCAAAAGTTGGTTTGACCACACTGGATTTTTCTGCAATAACAAATAAGGAAAAAAAAAAGAAACATGAGAAACATGAGCTGTACCTTCTCGCCACTAGAGTAGAAGAAGTAACGTAGTCTGACAATGTTGCAGTGATCCAGCTTCCTCATGATCTGTAGTTCCCGATTCTGTGAGGACAAGAAAACATGAGAGTGCAGGTGGGAAATTTAGAGGAGAAACCAAGCATGAAAAAAACTTTCAAAGAAAACACATGGGAGACAAGGTCTGACTCTTAGAACAACTTTAGATCACAACAGATAAGAAATGATGTGGAGAAATGTCTATATTAGAGCCATACCTTAAACCTCTTATCCTGCAGAACCTTCTTAATGGCCACCATCTCCTGGCTGTCGATGAGGCGAGCTTGGTACACCACACCAAATGACCCATTGCCAATCACCTGCAAGGTTTTCACAAAAGAGGAAAGAGTCAGACACCGGCTAAAGAAATCCATGACAGTTCATCGGGTGAAGTCCAAGAAGATTTGTAAGGGTTACTTTGGTGTCTGGCTGCTGATCTAACAAACAATTTGAGCTTATCTGTGTCAGTTCAGCTACAACAACAGAAGGTTAAACACAGGGTTACACAATGTTAAATAACCTCTGACACAACTTTCCAGTTTCTGCTCATTTTCAGTGTCTAGACTAGTGCAACCTGTGTAAAGTAGGTCAGTAGCAAATAGTGATATTGGTTTTGGGGGAAGAGTCTGTCCTTTCCTGTGTTTTCCTAAGAGCCGTGTTCACCGGAGCACAGCCAGGGAAGGTCTATGCTTAACCCCCCCTCTAACCAACATTAATTTGGCCAAAGCATTGACTAAAATACAAATCCGAAGTTTCCAGGACATTTGATCGTATTAATCAAACCAGATTCTCAAAAACTAGTCTTTTACAGGATGTGTGGGAACCCTGAACTGTGCTTCACAGGAGAGATATGGCTGCTACAGTATGTTTCATGAGAATGACTGTTTATATTGTTTGAATGGACCTCGGTATAACACAATAATAAATAAATAAATAAACATTTTTAAAAATGCCCAAACTTCACATGCTCCAGTTTCTATTTGGATTCTCCTTCTATGATTATAAATTAAATATCTTTGGGTTTTAGACTAAACAAAACAACAAACGTTGAAGACGTCACCTTGGGCACAGAGAAACTGTGGTGGACATTTTATACCATTACCCGACATTTTATAACGATAAATAGAGAAAACTGAGAAATCAAGAAATGCATTGGCAGATACTGATCTTAAAATAATTGAGTGAGTTCAGGTATTGAATTAATCAAGCCAGTAAAAAAAATTAGTGCATGTGTTGTAGTAAATCCAGTAGTACAACTGTGTAATTATAACTACAATAGTAATTATGCACATTGATATATGATTTATGATAGAACAGTTTTATCCTCAAGATTATTGAAACTTTTAAAACAAGTAGACTCAGTAGAGATTTTTATTACACTTTTATAACCTTCAAGAGCAGCAGACATTGGAAAAGTGACAATATTTCTGATAAGCAGGTATCATAAGACTATTGACTTTGAGATAGAACTCGTGATAAATGTATGTTTAAACATTATTACAGAGACATTAAGGAATCTTAGAAGTGATAAAAGGAAACCACCAGAAGGAGCTGCAACGAGTCTCTAGTTCACTGTAACAGCGATCTCATCTCGTGTTATTTCATTAGCCTGTAACTGACACAATTATGTCACATTTTCAGATCAGACACAAGCAAGATAGCTAACAGAAAGTAGGCTATAACGTGAGCCTTTAAAGCCAGAAATGTCAGCACCTGGCAAAACACTTACAGAGCCACTGGTACTGATCAACAACCATATCAAGCCAGATATACTGCAGTCATTGAATGCAGTGAGATGATAGTTTAAGTTATAGTAGCAGAGGAGTGTATGTGAAGTTGTATTTCTACATATAAAAAAGGACAGAGACTCTAATGGTGACACTGTCGGGTCTTGGTTTTAATTCCTTGCTCACCTTGATGTCGGTGTAAGAGACTTCCTGTGGGCGGTCCGGTCCCTGACCTGGTGTGGCCACAACTGTCGTCACCTTCCCACTGTCTCCTAGGAAACAAGCAGGAACAGGGTGACATAAATGACAGGGTTATGATTCAGTCATACGGTTCAGTCAGCGTAGCCTGGGTAAGAATAGAGACATCAAAAGCCTATTTTTTTTTAATCCCCCTATATTTCAATGTGAAGTAGAACACAGTAGTTATGAGTCATAGCAGGTAATCTGTTAATTGCTTTATTGTGCTAAAATGTGTGATGTTATAAAAAGGATTAAAATTGGCTACGGCCCCTCTGGCTCCGTTTTTTACAAGAAGTAATAATATGAAACCGCTTCACAACGTAACCAAAAGAATGCCGCTGACAATCAACCCTTGCTGCGGCCAGCCTCAACATCTGGGCCGACTCTCCGCCAGCCGTTTCAATATATAGGTTAATGACAGTCAAGTGAATGGATGTCAACTTTAAGAAGCCTCCAAAGACACAGAAAGAAATGGTAAGAGTTCATACTCAATACACTGTGACTAATTAAACTGGGAATGAACCCAAAAATAGGCCAACTACTTTTTCTGTCCTGATAAAACTGTTTTAAGTAATAAAAGCCTCCCGTACATGGATTCTTTTGTTTTATGCTCCAGTGGCATCGCGCTGCAGGGGTCAATCACATACGAGCACGAGCACACATAAGGTCTAATGACTTGTAGCGTGTAGAATTTTACTAATTTACTTTTACCTCAGAGACATAGGGAAAAATACCATGGAAGCGTTCACAAGTTGGATAAAATCCTGCCTGAAAGGAGAATAAAACTTCTTGCAGTGCCTTGGTGTTTGATAAGTCTTCAAAATGGACTTCACGGTTCATACGCATATCATCTCATAAACAGGACGCTGCCATTACTAGCAGCTACATTTGTGTGTGTGTGTGCTCTAGGGCTGTCCCTGAATCAGGATCAAACCGATGCATCTGCTTTTAATTCCTTTTTTTATTTTAATACACTCAATAAAATCCACCTGCTGAACTGACCAGCTTACGTGAGTCTCGTGTTTTATGCATAAGACTCACGTTGTAATCCCTTTGTTCATCATCTGTGATGTGAAAAACACAGAGAGAAAGTAAAAGTGTGCGTCCTGCTTACAGTTCAGTTATGAAATCCTTGTGCAACATAAGTGCTGGGTGGTATGACAAAAAAACTGTATCACTGTATTCTGGCGGTCTCACAGTATATCACGGTACTGCATGACCCGGCCCTTATATAGTGGCTTATTAAACTGTCAGGAGTATACAATGGTAAATGGTAAATGGACCTGTACTTGTATAGTGCCTTTCTAGTCTTCCGACCACTCAAAGCGCTTTTACACTACGTGCCACATTCACCCTTTCACACACATTCACACAGTGATGGTAAAGTCCATCGAACAGAAACTAACATTCATACACACTCACACACAATATATAGAATATACAAACATTTATTCATTTAGTCATCGTGTTTATACCGAAGGCTTTTTATTACTATAGTGTTTTCTGGGCCTTACAAAAAAAAATGAAGAGATCAGAATGTATGAAACCTAGTATAAACAAAACTTTCACAACGTTTCCTCTTCAAAACGAATATTTTTTAAATAGTTACATAAACACTAAGAACTGATATAAAATATGCAAAGTATTTAAGTATTTAAAGAGATGTTTGCTGCCCTCTGTTTCCACCCTTCTCTACCTCAATCACAGTTAGTTTTGTGCTCATTTTGAGACTGGATTTGCCGTTGCTCCTGCATTGCTCCGCGCACAATGACACAGCTACACAGCTGACACAGTCTTTCAGGGGGAAGCCCACTGTACAGCTCACGCTATCGTCTCACCGATACCCGGACGGAAAGCACAAAGCTATTCACTGTCTGCACGCAGCCTTAGCACAAAGCTGTGTATAGTAATCAGAGGTGCTTCAGCAGAACACATAGGCCGAAGCAAAATCATATTTATAAAAAAACAACTTTGTATACCTCGACTCAGAAACAATAATCTCAACAACCTTTTTGCCATCTAGCTGTCCTTGTTCTGTATTACTGGCACCCTGACCATGTCCTCATACTTAATGCTTTGTTTACCAAACAAGACAATGCACTTATTGATATGGCCCTCTTACAGCCAGAACTGCACGTCCTGGTGTTCTTGTCCATATCCACCCACACACAGTAAACTGTCCTCAGCCACCAAAGTGTGGTGGTCATCCAATAGGCACGCTGGCGATATCGGTTACAGCTGAGACTGCGAGGCCTGCGGAGTGACCGGGTCACTGGGTTCTCTAACTCAACGACCGGGTTCTCCCTCTGGACAGGAATGAACACACACACAGGGGCTCCAGGTTAAAAGTAGGACAGCTGGTTAAAGGATACGTTCATGCCAACTGTCTGTGTTGGTCCTCCTCTTACATGTTTCTTGCTGATGTGACAGTCGGTACTGTCATTCACTTTTTACAGTATGAAAAACAACTTCCATGAGGTCAATAATCTATCATAATAAACACGTTGCCTTACTCTGACTTTGTCGGTATGTCTGTTTTATCATTGTTTCATTGTTTCTGAGTTCACTGTTTATATATCAGTGGTGAACTGTGTCACAGTCTGCTTCCTGTCATTCACCTGACATTCACAGAAGGAAACTCAAGTCACCAGGAGGAAACAATCCCTTAAAAAAAAAATGCAATTATTTAAACTTTGACATCCATAGCTAACTATTTAGTGTTTTTAAACTTAAACAGCAATGTGAAATATAAGAATTTGCACAAACTATTCTCACTAATGCATTAACCAGCAGATTTCCTCATGTCAATGTACTGTCTTACTACACAAAAAGCACACTGTACTTGAATGAACTCCAACATCCTTAAAGCGAAAGTAGCTTCAAGAGAATTAAGTTTACCTTATTAATATGCAGTTTAATGCAGCAAGATCTTCCCAAAAATCTAACCAGGCCATGTACTCTATAGGGAGAACCTCTGGTGGAAGTGTGAGGTTTCTATCAAGTAACTATTGTTTAGAGTTACGGTGCTCATGTGACAGTCTACCACAAAAAAACAGCATCCAACACCACATCTACTTCTTCAGAGCTGGTTTACATAACATTTACATAGAGTAATTGTGAACAAAAACAGTCTTGTGATGCCACCATCCCCACATCGGTCACATGCTTTTTAAATAAAAAAATTTTTTATCATACCCATCTCTATAGAGTTTCCCAAAAAGATAACCATGGTTCATCACACAGTTGCGGCTCTGTTAAAGGGAAAATCCACTAAAATAACATTGTTTTTCTATATTTTATAGCTTGATTTAACTTGTGAATCTGAACATTTCTCACTGAGTTGGAGAGTGAAGAGACATACAGTGGGGATGATGTCATCCACAGACAAACCCTGGAGCTGCTCCACACTCAGTGAATAATGGAACAACTGCTTGGACACTGTCTCAGCAGCCATGGTAATTATACTGGAATAATACAGAAATAAATTATCTGATTTGTGGCAGTGAGCCCTGTTTTCGAATCCCCTTGGTTGTAATATGTTAAAACTCTATGAACACACCAGTTCACTGTTTTGTGGACCGCCTCCAAGAGTGTCGCCTGAGGACATCATCAATTCCCTAGCTGAAATGCTAATTTGATATGCTTACAAAATTAATTTATACTGCTGTAGAAAAAAAAAAAAAAAAAAGAGGCAAATATTCCTGTGTAATAAAATCAGTGGAAAATATCAGCAGAACTGCCATCAAATTGATACTGGTGTCATTACAGGCATCTCTTTAGTTCATGTCTGGGCCTGTCAGTGTTTCTCCTCGAGATGTTTGTAACAGCTGCAATACTGCAAGCAAGTGTCACATACTGTGTGTATATATATATATATATATATATATATATATACACACACTGTGTCTGCCCACTGCTACTAACTACTTCTACAAGTGAGCACGTGGGTAAAAAAAAACTTCAATCTACCAGCCACTTTAGCTCATGAGGTGGCTGATCGGTAGTTTTATCCTTACGTTTAGGTTCACGCTGTGTAACCAAAAAACTAGCAATGCAAAGCAAAAGTTCACTTTTCAGACTAAAAGTACCAAGACACCACATTGTGGAGCAAAAGACTGAACTTGCAGTGGTGGAGGAGTAGCTCATAAAAGCAAGAGTACTTAATGGAAGTATTTCATCATCAAATATCTTCCAGTGTTGCTCATAATGACAGATCACTGGTTGGTATGGCAACATAACATCCTTAATGCTCCATGTCCAAGTTTAATTTTACCAGTAATTCAAAATGTCAAATCACATCAGTCTCTCTCACAAATATCTTGCTAACTGGGTTAATCCTGCCTCTTGAAATAGCCGTCAAGACTCCCAAACCCTGACAACGTATCCATCACTCGCCCAAAAACAGTACATTTACCAGCCGAAAAGGCAACATTTTGGGCTTTAAGGGCTTCAGGCAATGTGTTGCTCTCCTGCTGCTGTTGAGGGTGAGCGAGAAAACAAGGGTCATACTGCCTTGAACTGGAGATGACCCCAACTTGAACTCTAATATCAAAGTCACACACCACTGCCTGCTAATGGATGATAAGGTTTGGATTAACACACACACACACACACACAGATACTCTGCTCACACCTGTCACTACGGTGATAAAGGACCATACGATAACTGCATCTCAGACAGAGGAAACCTACTCCTTGGCATCCCAGCAGACAGCCCAGGCTCTGGTGCTGGTTGTGCATCACTTGCATCCTCCAGGCGTCGGCCACCTGCTGCTAAGCCTGTGCCCCACAGGTGACCTTGGTGAAAAGGTAACTTTCCTGTCCTGACCCTTCTCCAGGTGGGCCAGACAGGTAGCTCTCAAAGACCCCCCCCCGAAAATAAATAACCCAGAACCGTGAATGCAGCACTCAAAAGCTCAGGCATTTGAGTCCAGCTTTGGCCACAAAGAACAACAGAGACCGTTTTACTGCTCACTCACACTGACCACAGTGGCATCAAACACATCCTCACATAGCAACTCCACATTAATACAGCTTGATTATTCAGTAATTTAACTGCCGTTACACCGGGTTATAGTGGTTATCAGCCAGCGGCTTAGTCTGCCATCAGTACGGCTGAATACATCCATCGGCCGGACGGCGAACTAACAGTAACATACAAAACAAGTGGCTAACGTTAGCAGGCGAGCTAGTTAGCGTGCTAGCAAGTTGGTTACCACTACAGGGGAGCAATAACGACTTTCCTCTCGGATGTGACTCTGAACACTGGCAGGTAATTTTAAAGAGAACAAACACAGGATACAATTCATCAGACTGCCAGACTCCGACAAATAGCTGCTGGCTTATTAGAACTTACTGGCTAGCTTAAGGTTCGAGCATCCCGACGAGCTGCTGCCGGAGGCCTGCGGGACCCCGGACTTTCCTGTGCTGCTCCCCACGGCAGCGGCTGATCCGGTGGACGCAGCGGCGGTTCCTGGCACACCTGGCGGCTCAGCAAACGAGCTGGTCCTGGGCCGCCCGCTGCCGCTCATATCTCTGTGCAGGGCTCAGGGTTGTTTTTTCCACTACTTTCAGCCAAGCGACTAATAATTATGAATACCCGGCAGCGAATAATCGTGGAAGGATACACCGAGAAATACCGCTCCCGTTGCCGCCGGCTGTCTGGGCTGATAGCTGTTGCTAGACACCTAGAAACAGACCGCTCGCAATGCCACCTGGGAGATGAAGTTCGAAGGAGCTGTTGCTTAGGTTTGCTGCTCAGGCGTTCAGAAATCCAAACAACTACAAATTTAAAATGACTTAACAGTGGATGTAGGCCAAAAAGGTGCAGTCAGAGTGTATGTTAAAATATAAATTTAAGTGTTTACCATGTTTGTATTCAGATAAAAAATCACAGTTTAATCCATAGACTCTATAAAACAGGATAAATCACTATATTGTCATTTATTCTATAAGTATAGTACAGATGTATTTTTGTGAACTGAAATATTTCCCAAAATACCAGGAGGTCCTGCATATTTTTTATTTTTTGTATGAATCTTCAAGTTGATTTTAAATGAAGGGCTTTTGCGTAATCCTATTCAATATAATCAGTGATATGATGACATGTGGTGCTTGGTGAAAACAACATACTTAAGAGTGTGATGGTGATTTTGAAGTGAGCAGGCTGTTGTCCTCTTCAGCTTCCCAGAGTGTTTGTGCCCATATGGAAGGCACTCTGACCAGGTCCCCTTACCTTAACCGACATCTCACCCAATATGACCTGAATCTGAAAGGGCTTCTCTAATCCAATAAGCATTCTTAACACTTGGAGTCCAGCTGGAGAAGTACACACACAGGGATTTGGGGGACTTGCCTGGTGGGTCAAAGTGGCTTCATCTGTAGATCCTATTCATTGGTTTACAACCAAATTTGTTCAAGAGAGGTTGGATTTGCATCAACTTTTCCTTATTATCTCTTCCTTTGCCATTTTGGAAAGAAAGTACAGACGGTCAAAGTAGAGATTGCAATAAATGAGGAAGCAGTAACAGTAATTTAATACCTTCTGTATGTGGATTATAATAAGACATTCGATACAAACATTCAAAAATGATAAAAACACTGGATACATTCAGAAATAAATTCAACGACATAAGACATTGTGTTAGATCTTTAATATTTTCAATATTTAGTTTTTTGTTGTTTAGAAATATTGCACATGGTCAACATGCCTGCTTATGAGATAACACTCACCTCGCTCATCCTAAAATTCCTTCTCCAAAGTAAGGACAGTTTATTTTTAAGCACAATCATACAGTGTACACGCATACATGTGTGTATGCACATATTTCTGGTCTGGGTGTGTGCACGCGTGCATGTGATTGCACATGCATGCAGATGGACACTTTACAGCCCTAACCCCAAAGAGATGTGAATTGATAGTCTTCCATTACCTGTGTGTTATATATTATATAGCCTGAATATATATTTCATATATATCCTGAATCAACTGGGTTTGATAACAGTCAAGATGGCGGGAAAAATAGTCACGGTGACTATAAAAATACTGTCTCTAGAGTAGAATATAGAATGGAGAATACAATGAAAAATATACTATTGATAATGTTGCTGTGTGGAGAGAGAAAAAGTTGTGTTAAGACACTACCTGCATGTGCCAAAACATACACACACACCCAAACACAGACCTAAATGCACATATATGGAAATACCGGTATATACTTTTTCACACATCCAACTGTATACAGAGAAACAAAAGAGATACCCATAATAATAACTACCCCCACTCTTCACCAAGGAAGTAAAGAGCCAAAAAGTGCTATTCAAAAATTGTCTTTGACTTTTAGTAAGTTATACCCTCTATCTCTTCAACAATAACAATAATTGTGTGATTCTTTTTTGTTTTGTTTTATACCATAGTTAAAGATAGTATCACAACAGCTCATTCCTCTCACTGACTGACTGCACTGGATTTAATATCTATGGCACAGAGCCTTCCCCCGGAAACAAAATAACCCACCCATTTCCAAAAAAAATAAATGTCCTATTGCACCATTTGACGGGAAAGGATAAAGTGTCGAGAAGAGAGGGAAGAGGGGAGGGCTCCAGAGACTGCCCTCCAGGGCTGGTCTAGGATCTGCTTTCCCTGAACTAACCCTAACCAGAGCCATCCTGAGCTACATAGCGCTTGACCCGGGACCAGTGCTTAAGGGCACTTTCTAACAACACTTGAGGGAAATAGGTGAGGTAAAGATGGGAAGAGAGGACTGAGGAGAGATGGGTTGAAAGGAAGGGAAAAAGCAGGGAGGACATGGGGAGGAAAAATGTGGTTGATAACATACGGAACAAGGTTATTATTTTTTCTACTAAAACAATCTCTATAAACAATACTTTCCTGATTTTACTTGCGGCGGTCCCAGACGAGAAGGGCCGCACAAATTGTGCAAACACCTGATTTCTGCGTTTTACAAAACGACAAACACCCCTGCTCCCCCACTTCTGTGTCTGGTGAGAAATCGTAGAGTAGGGTAGAGGGGGGGAGAGAACCGCCCCAGGTACAATTAAAAGTAGGGGGGGCCACAGACTGATTTTGTCCCCTTCTTTGTCCAAAGTTTTTTTTTTTTTTTTGTTGTGATTTTTTTATGCTGGAGAAGAAACACAATAGAGCCACGAGAGAAAAACAGGCCACGGTAAAACTGGTTATTTCCACGGCAACGATAACGAGAGAAAGCAACATTATATCCACTGGGAGATTCAGAGAAGTTTGGTTAAAATTCTACTTTTTCTCTCTGTTGGTAAGCTTGTCATGTTGTTGTTGTTGATGTCCTTATTCACTATTATTCTTATCGGTCTTCCTATAGTTGGAATATAAATCTTCCATCCATTGAACGTCATCCAGTTTCTTCTTCTGCCTTTTCTCTGTGCTCTGTCGGGAGCCGGTCAGTGTCGAACTTAACGTTGATTCTTCAAAGCCTCACAACCAATAGTCTCTTTACATAATCTCTTTACGGTGCCTGTTCACACAGGTTTTGGGGAGGGCACCCCAACAGACATACAGACATATATAATCAGCTCCCGCCAATGAGGACTCAGTCTTTCATAATGGCAATAACTGAAGGTGCAAATATTGGTCACACTACATCCAAACTCCTGCCTTCTTTTTGTTTTTCAGGAGCGATTTCATGCTTTCAGTTTCTCTTCTCACTACAATCACTAAAAACTGTGCAGGCCAATGGCTTGGTCAGACCGGGGTTGACTATGTTTGTGTACGAGTGCTCACACTGCACAGATGTGTCCATGCACTGCATGTGTTTGTGTGTGTGCATGTATTGTATGTATGTATGTATGTATGTATGTGTGTATGTGTGTGTGTGTGTGTGTGTGTGCTGTCTGTCTTGCAGCATCGAGGGGCTGTGGAATATTAGTGGAGGTCGTTGGGGTTGTGTTTGTGTCCCGACCACTGTGCTGAGGAGTGGAAGGGCGAGAAGGAGGTCAAGTCAATGGCATCTGAGGGCTGGCTGGCTGGGTGGCAACAGCAAACTGCATCTGCACAATAAGTGACAAAGTGCCTTTGTGTGTCATGGTCCTTGGTGGCGGCTCCTGGGGACTGCCAACCAAGAGTAACAGTCTGATTTGGTAAGGGTGTGTGTATGTGTGTGCGTGTGTGTGTTTATGTGGCATCATGTGCATGCTGGAGATTACATATGCACCATGGTTTGTGTGTGTGTGTGCCAGAGAGATAGAGAGTGTGTACCACAGAGTTTGTGTGTCAAACTACAAACTACTGTACAAATGTGCTGAGAGCAGACCTGGGCAAAGTGTTAGCTGAAAATATTCTGGATACTCGGGGAGGGGGAAACTACACTACAAGAAGCACTTGACTCATCAGGACTTGCATGTGATTCGACCACTTTTGAGGCTTTTTTTTGAATGTCTGATTAGACAAATCAAGCGCACCTTGAGTAGTTTGAATATTTGTGACCATATTCAAATATATTCCTGCCCAGGTCTGGTGGAAATTAGTGCCAGTAGAACGGATCCCACTGGAGCCATTCAGAGTACAGGTTCAACACATACAAGAACATTTTGCAGGGATGACACACTCCTCTCTCTTCTTCTTCCTTGATTTTTTCCACTTGGTCATCCTCTCCAGCTTAGGATCCTTCGCTTTTTGGCTCCTCAGGGCTCCGGCCTTTATCTCCTTGCTGCTCCGCCCCTCCGTCCTCCCGGATTGATTGATTGAAAGAGGAGCTGTGGGTTGGGGCGGGGTTGGCTTCAAGTGACCCTCCAGGTTCGAGGGTTCCAGGCGTGGCCGTCTGCATGATCTTCTGACGGACCTCGCGGATCTTCAGCTGCAGACACACCTTGGTGGGGAAGGTGTCCGAGTAGCGTGCCTGGAAGGCAGCAGTGGCCTGAGCTGGAGAGGATGAGAGAAACGAAGGGGAAATGGGAGGGAAGAGTGAAAACAGGGAGCAAGGAGATAAAGCAGTTGTTATAAAAACAGCATGATAACAAGTATAAGCATATATCCTGTCTGATATTCTTTAAGGGGAACATAATAATGATTCAGTTGTTGCTCAGTTAAGATTATTTTAAAGCCACAGGTTTAAAATTACTGCAAATACTTAACTGGGGGTATCAAATTTAGAAAGTTTGTTTAGTATAATGAACCTTCTCTAAATATAAGGTATTCATTTAGTAATTCAGCCACATTTTTAATGGTTGATACAGTAGTTTTCCAATATATGATTATTAGTTGTAATGTAATGTAAGTACGGTTTGCCTGTACAATTTAATAAAAGTCATCAATTTAATCTCCATTTCAGTTGTTCTTACTGTCCCATTGTGTACTATCTACGGGTGGTTTACCTGAGGGAAAGAAGCCATGTTCCTGAAACAGCTGCATGACCAGGGCCCGACGCTGATCCAGAGTTCTACGCAGAGACGAGTAGGGGACTCGGTCCAAGTCTCCAAGAAGATCCTCTCCTTCTGTGCCTGGTTGAAAAGGAGAATGCCACATCTCTTTCAGTGCACCTTTAGGAGCAGTTCTGCAGCTGTTGCACCTGATGTTACCTGATGTACCTGCTCTGTCGAAGGTGAAGATTTCTCCCTCGCACTTGGCGGCGCTTTTGGGGGTGTTGGGCTCCGAGCTGCAGCTGGAGAGACGACGAGTCTTCCTCCTCGGGGAGCTGGGGTCTTC